TGCATTTTAGCCCAGCAACAATTTTTTTCTCCCACAATTGCAGCGTTTTCTTTTCCATGCCTAAAAGCTTTTGGTGTGTGCGTCCAATAAAATATTTCCCGAAAAGGTCCCGAGAAAAGCTACAAGAAAGTTTTTTAAGATAAAAGCGTAAATATAAAGCTTTTAAAGCTCAAACAATTTTTTTGCTCGGGATTTTAAAAATTTTGGAGGTATTTGATTGGATTTCTATGGCATACACCAGCAATAGCTAAATAAAGTTATGTCCATTATTGATAACAAATTACAAAAAAAGAAAAACAACAACAATTCAACAATTTTAGCTTGAATATTAAGACTGTTCTGCTAGAAATAACGTTTGATTAGTGTATTACAGTATTACAAACGCTTTTCTGAGCACATTTAAAAGCTGCCGTGGGAAAGCTATGAAATAGGAGGCAAAGCTCTGACGTCAGTTATATGGCGAAACTCTTATATTCCGGGCTTTCAGAGCTTATACGAACTATATAACAGTTGTATATCAAATAAAGTTTATTTTCAAAAAATCGTACAAAGCTTTCGTCAAGGCTTAGTAGAGTTAACTTTGACTTTTTCGTAGTGTTTCGTAGTTGCTTTAACCATATATTTCATATAACAGAACGTATGCGAAACCAGTCTATCTATGCTGAGCATCCATGTTGTATAACAGCTTATCAGCAATTGTTATAATAGGTTTTTAATAGTGTCATATTTAATTCAAGCTTTCAACTCTTGGAATTGTATACCGTTATATAGGCTTAGGTTGTTGTAGAGAGCATGAAGTGGCAATAGCTGATTCTATGAAGTCAACAATTTAGAGGTATATTTCCATAAAAGGGCCTACATTTCTAAATCATCTCTGCAATATAATTTCATTGTGTCTAGAGCTGAAGGAAGCTTAAAGCTGCATAGATTTGTATGCAGGATCAGTTTATTCTTCAGTTTAAAGGTAGTCTTGATGCTGTATCTGTACAATAGCTGAATGCATTAATATGTCATATTGATTCTGTATATAAATATATAAATATATATAATTTACATAAATATATATATTTTTTTCTCTCAGCTTGGCATCTTCTTCTTGTCTTGCTGTGGTTTCCCTTGCAGCTCAAATGCTGCCCCTTTGTTTTTATAAAATTAAAAAGTTTTTCTCGTCCTGCTGCGCTGTAATCTTTGTCGACTCTAACTGAGGTTGGCGCAGCAAGCTGAATAGGGGCTGAAGGTTAAAGGGAATGGGGTTATTCAGCGGACATCGACGTGTTTTACCAGCAACAATTGCTTGTTGATTTGGCTGTCGCGCCCAGAGCGCGTCTTGGGCTAAAGTTTCTTCCTTTATTTCTGTTTTTTTTTTTTTGGCTCAGACTCGCCAACCGTCCAGACAGCCTGTTGGCCTGCCAAAGACAATTTACGACAGAACGAAGAACATCTACAAATTATCGAGTGACAAAAAAAAACCGAAAGAAACCAGCAAAAGTAGAAACGATTGAAATTGCAGATAGAAAACGCTGCAATTTTGGTCTAGAGCAGAATAAAAAAAGTTTTCTGTGGTCAGTTTGTTCGCTTTGATAAGAAATAATTTATGTGCGAACAGGTGAGCTCCGACGACAAATTGAATGAGGTTCAGTAGCTTAAAGCTGAGTTAGTTATTCAAAACCTGATTGAAACAATCAATATTAATGTTAGAGAACCAAAAGGAGGAAAATCTTTAGCTAAATATATGAAAAAGATAAACTGAAGCAGCTATAGCAATACGTATATATATCATGTTCAATTCAAATCAACCTTTAATCTCTATATATGATTTCAGATTTGTTCTTATACTACTTGACATTTTCTATCGCTCTACAAAAAAAAAAAAAACATATCTATCCAAGTTCTATGCATGATATATGACTTAAGGGCAGTTGCAGCACAAAGTTGACTGTGACTGACAGCTCTCTCACTCGCACTCACAGCCAGTGTAGCCATCTAGCTTTGTATGATATGTGAGCGTGTTTACGTGTCTGTGTGCTGCACATGAAAGCCACAAGGTTGTGCCTCAGTCGACAGTTGAAAGTCGCAATGACATTTCAAATTTACTGACTATGACAAAGTGAGTTAAATGCATTTTGAAAAATGTACAAAGAAGTGAAAAGAAAATCTACGAAAAATCTTCAATCAAGAGAGTCAGCCGAAACCGAAGTGTGTCAAAAGTGTTGGCTACTTTAAAAGCTGGACAATAATCAATAATAATTTTATTTAAGTTACTTTTTACTTTTAGAGAGTAGTCCAATATGTATAATAAAAAATAAACGAATATCAAGCAAAACCTTGAACCACTTGAACCACATAGCTAAGTACATTTGTCATAGCAAAAGTTAATTAATATAAAAATATATATCAATTGTATATCAATAGACTTTATTGAATAGAAGACTTTATGACATTGATGTTTAAATATATAGCCATATAGCTATCATGCACAAGAAGCTATCTGGAAATTAATTTTTATTATCATTATTTCGATCAAGAATTTCAACAACTTGCACATATTCTATTCACAAGGAAATGTCAAGTCGAACTTAACAAAAAACTTTTATTGGCTGTTAACTGGATTGTTCTGGTTTACTGGTGTTGTGTTGTGAGCACTATAAAGAACAACTACTATTACTCTCCACTGGGTGCACTCGCCAGTCTTACACACATCCTAAATACCTCTGTTCTGTAAGAACTTGGCATGCAACATTAATTGGTTACACCGGAACACACTTTGAAATTATTATTGCCATTGACGATAACATTGACTACAACAAAAGCTCATATATACGAGTTTGTATCGTCTGCCTAAATATATACAAACGTGAATTAAATTAAAGTGCTAACCATATTTGCATTCGAGCTCGTAGACTAATTTTAATACTAGTTTTTTTTATTAAATATGCATGATTCGAATTCGTTTCGGCGATTTTATATTATCGTCTCATCTTTTGTCATCTCGCTCAGTAAACTAGTTTTATTTCTCTTTGTCATTTCTTCGTCTTTACCAAACTAAACGTTCAAAGTTTAAGCTAAACAAAAAAAATCAAACTCGTTATTTCTCCGAGCTGTTCTTCATCAATAATGGTTGACCTTGAAGTTGCCTCTGCCAAATGAAAATATATTTGCAAATTTATATATAAATACAGCTGCGATTAGCTGATTTTAGTATAGTTACCTTTGATATCTCAAACGCGCAACAACCTCAACTAAAAATGAAATTCCTGATCGTCTTCGTCGCTCTCTTCGCCGTCGCCTTGGCTGCACCTGTCGATGACTCTGCATCTGCCCAGACTTTGAGACAGGATTCCGATGTTGGACCTGAATCCTTTCAATTTGCGTAAGTGTATATATCTCCATAATAATGCCAACTATTTGCTAATCAATTCTTCTTTGCATTCTTCAGTTATGAGACATCCAATGGCATAGCAGCTGAAGAGCAAGGTAAACTTAAGAACGCTGGCTCAGAAAATGAGGCTATTTCCGTTCAAGGTTCATTCAGATATGTTGCCGATGATGGTCAGACGTACGAAGTTAAATACGTTGCCGATGAGAACGGTTTCCAGCCACAGGGCGCTCATTTGCCCGTCGCACCTGTAGCTTAAGATTTGTTTTTAAAAAGCGAAATATATTAAATGTTTTTCAAAAATTTCCTTTGTTTTATAATGTTGATTTAACTACAGATTGGTTGACATATACTTATCGAAGAGTTGGGTTGCAATTTGAGTTTGCTGACAGCACAGAAAAGCAACAAACCTCATTATAAATACATCTCTGAACACTTTCACATATGTAGCGCATCCTTTAGCTGTTATTTTTATAAATATAGGTAGAAGTCAACTGATTGTCTTTATAACGTTGTTACTTTACCTTTGGCTGCGTGAAAATATGTGCTAATTCTACTTCTAATGTCAGCTTTGAGACGTCAAATGGCATCCGAGCTGATGAACATAGTCAGCGTCAGGGTCCTGAGCCATCAATGATGATGCGGTCTACAGTGTAAACAACGTTGCCGACGAGGCAACAGATAGATAATCAAAACTAATATTCAAATGAAAAAATTAAATTTAAAATATTCGTAATATCAATAAAAAATAGAAATCTATAAAAAAAAATTCAATAGAAACGCTAAAAAAAATTGTAAAAATGATACATCATCAAAATAAAACAGAAAACAATATTAAAAAACTTAAAATAATATAATAATTATTTTATATATTTATAATGTTTAATAATGTTTTAAAAAAATAAAACTTTTATAGTAAGCAAAATATTTGTATTAAATTTAAAATAATCTTCGCTTGATTTCGTTTCGAAGATAACGAAATTTAAAACACTAATTAAAATAAAAAAAATTTGAAGTCGAAAAGTATAGACGATGAAGATGACAGAGTAGTCAAACCGCTATTGGCAAAGCCGTAACCTTGGCCAATCTAGATTTGGGCCCGGGCTTGAGTCTGGTCAAGATCACGCAGCGTGAGCCGGTTGTCACCCGGCAGCAGCCAAACGCAACTGCTTATCTCTAAGCTGAAAGTGATAGTGGATACAAACACACACACACATACATACACAGATATACGTATGTATGATAAGCATGAGTCTCGGTTATTGCGAATAATAATAGGTTCCCGTGCGAGCAAGAGGGATAGGAGCCGATGAGAAAATGCAAAATAAATAAATTTAGAGTAATCAAAACTCGCCTCAAATAATTCACATAATTTATAAAGTTATATGTAATACATGCACACATTATGGAAATATGTATTTCAGTTTATTTGTCTGCGCGTCTTCGCCTTGTGACGTCTATAAGCTCTTATAACGAGTTTTGAACACTTCATTAATATTAAAACATTTTTGCTGTCAATATTAAACTATAAACTAGTTTGATACAGGGCAAAAATATTGAGCTCTTTGATATAAATACAGCTGCGATTAGCTGATTTTAGTATAGTTACCTTTGATATCTCAAACGCGCAACAACCTCAACTAAAAATGAAATTCCTGATCGTCTTCGTCGCTCTCTTCGCCGTCGCCTTGGCTGCACCTGTCGATGACTCTGCATCTGCCCAGACTTTGAGACAGGATTCCGATGTTGGACCTGAATCCTTTCAATTTGCGTAAGTGTATATATCTCCATAATAATGCCAACTATTTGCTAATCAATTCTTCTTTGCATTCTTCAGTTATGAGACATCCAATGGCATAGCAGCTGAAGAGCAAGGTAAACTTAAGAACGCTGGCTCAGAAAATGAGGCTATTTCCGTTCAAGGTTCATTCAGATATGTTGCCGATGATGGTCAGACGTACGAAGTTAAATACGTTGCCGATGAGAACGGTTTCCAGCCACAGGGCGCTCATTTGCCCGTCGCACCTGAAGCTTAAGATGCGTTATTAAAGCTTAAATAAAATAAATGTTTTTTCAAGAATTCCATGTGCTTACACTGTGTTTTTGGTCACCTGTACTTGGTAAACGGGCAATGGGTTTTTCACAAATGGATATCTATCGGAAAGATTAGTTCTGCATACACTAACTGAGTCTGGTTATATTTAACCAATTTGTCTCATACTCGTGAGATAAGCCGCAAGTGCTCTCAATCCATTAGCTAAGTTCGTCTGGCTGCAAAACTTAGAGACTTTTCAATTTGAATTATTTATTTTTGCTGGCGATACCTCTCGCAGCAGTTGACTTTTTAATTTTGAGTGTCAAGAAGTTAAAGTTTCAAGCTTCAGCAAATTAATTAATATACGAATATGCGTAAAGGAAAACTGAATGCTTGACACAGCAGCTCAGCACAGTTGTTCGTTGAAATTTAAAATGGAAAAAGCGTGGGCACAGGTTGCGACAAATTCAGCAAACCTTCGCCTCAAAGAGCTGTACAAGCTATCGTTTAAATAGGATGTATAGTAAAGATATACTTATATTTATATATGTACATATATATGTATATGCTTATAGTACATGTATAATGCACACATCTGAAAAACGAAATGCTGTAAGTGTTATTTATGCGTCTTCACACAAACGCTCGCACACACACACACACACACACTATGTATGCTGTGTAAAAGTAACAGGAAAATTGGTGAAAATGTGTAATGTTGACCCGACGCCATTTTTGGTTGAGCGCTGAAGCTTAATGGAGGAGCAAGACATAGAGAGAGAGGGAGGCTGGTCGGCTGGCCGGCTGGCTGGTTTCTGTTTGGATGGCTGCCAGGCCGCTTGACGCTTTTCATTTTTCTGTTTTTGGGCTAAAATACCAAATTACGGCATAAATAATGCATAGATAACGAAATTTATTACATTTCATGCATCACCCAGACTACACACACACACAGAGCGAGAGAGAGGGAGTAAGAGAGAACTTTAGTCATGTCCAACTAGCCCAAGCTACACCCACCCAGCCACGAACGGACACACGGACTGCTGCATAGGCGGCAAAATGTTTAACGGATGTCGTTCTGTCGCCTTCTAATTTATGGCACATATAAGTTGCTCTGATTAGCCACTGCCGGCCAATTTTTATCTACGGCCAACAAGTATACGCCCTGTTGTACATCATAGGTGCGAGCATTTTATATAATCTTTTTAAATATTCCAAATATTGTTCTACCAGTTATTTTCCATACAATGTTACTAACAAGATGCCAATAGCTCGACGCGAGCCAGAAATAAAGTTGACTTAAACAGAAGAATTGACGATTCAATTAGTTAGTGTATCATTGAAAATTTAAAAACTTCTTTAAGATATTTTGAAAATATAATTTTGACTAGGCTTAAGTCAATTTAAAAGTAACCGACTTTCGCTGTCGTGCTATCTGCTACTGTACAAGGTGTATACACAGTTATTGATCAATTTTGACATTAGCTTTACAACTAGTTCAGCTGAGCTGATTATTTTATTCAAGAAATGTTACGAACATCTTAAAAAAGTGCATATACCCTCTCTAACTCTCCGATAGACAGCCAGAAGTGTTGTGGTCTGGGCTGTCGCTTCAGTTGTTGTCGATGCGATTCATAATTGCATTTGCATATTATTTTCCGTTATTGCAAATGTCGCCCTGTTTGACATGACTTCAGGCGAATCTGCAGAGGAAAGGGAAGTAAAAACTTGCTAACGCTATTTTGGTTACTTTCAGCATCCGCTGGCGTTGTCGCTGCCGCTGCTACTACTTCAGCTCCTGCTTCTTCTGCTGCTGCTGCTTCTGCTTTATGTGATGTTTATTAAATGTCGCATGCTTGCGGCAATAACCACAAAAAAAAAAGAATAATAAAAAATAAACAAAAAAAGCACAAGCTAAAGAGTTAAGCGTAGCTGGTAAAAAATTATACGAAACAATTTGCATATAAATTAGGATGAACCGAGGTGTCAAGTTATGTGCGAAACAGCACGTGGTAATGGGTATGGATCTGCCTCAACATATTTATATGTATTATATCAAGTTTTATATATATATATATATCTTTGTAGTATATAAATATAGTATATAAATATATCTGCTAGTCGTATCTATTTAATTTTGCTCTATTGATCATATTCATGGGACATTTCTTTAGATATTCTTCAACATTTGTTCATTTACAAGCAACAAATGGGTGATAAGCAATATCCTTTATAAACACGTTTCACATATTTCCTTTACACGTATTTCTGTATACACTCACGCACGTTCGACTCAAAATTGTCAAGGTTTAGAGTGCTAAAGTTCAACTATCAATTGCAAAGGGGGTTTCAGTGAAACGTAAATTCCAAGCTCAAAACAAATAGTATGTCAAGTATCCAAAATCATTTTGGCAAGCATTTTATGGGCTGGCTCGTATCGAATGGTTGACTGCAGTGCCAGGGCAGGGCTCGTAAAAAGTCAAATAGGGCTCGAAGGCGGAATCGGAAGGGCGGGCGATGGCAGCAACAGTTAAGCATAAAAGCCCGTCTCGTAATATCCTGGCACAATTGTCAGTTTCATTCACTACTTTATTGTTACAGCCATATCCTTCGAGCCAAGCCCAGGTAAACAATGCTAATGCATACTTTGACTTTGAATTTGACTCTGACAAGAAGCCAAGCAGCGAACAGAGCTACTGGAGTCAATGGAGCCAACGGAGCCAACATAGCTAAAGTTGCACTCAAATCTGGCTGAGTGTATTCGGCTTGGACTTATGGGGCTTTCGGTGTTGTCGATTGGGGCCGGGCTTGGATTATTTCTAGGATAAATGTTGCACATGTTCGCCATTTGGCTGAGAGTGTTCGCAGCAATCGAATCTAAAATGAATTTACCTTTTCTGTCGATGTTGTGTGGGAGTTTTGTTTATTGGCTTTTGGCTCTTACTACTTTCATCTCTCATACACGCTCGCATCTGTTTGCTGTCACGGATTTGCGAATGAGCTTAAGACAAATGCAAATACTTCCAGGGTGGGGCTTTGCTAAAGGATGCGACAGGATATGCCTGTCTCTTATGATGGATGAGTGTGTGTGTGTGTGTGTGCTTCCTCTTTCAGATTTGTTGCCGCTGATAAACTCAATTTGTAGCGGCGACGCAATAGTCGAGCACTCAAACCTCATAATACGCATACGCCTTTCATAGTCAAAGTTTCTTTTAGCGAGTGTTTGGCAGCCCAAGTTGTAACCGGATTTTATAGCACTTTACAACACTGCATTCGAAATGCACTTTTCAATTTATTGTCTTTGTGCAGACTTGATATTCGTCAGACCCGAGCCAAGACGTCATGTACTTTACTTAACACAAAGCTATAGTTGCTTGTGATAAGGCTTCACTGTATCACATGTTATATATATTTATATATATATGTGGACAGCTTCCACTTCAATTACTTCTTGCATTTTGCATGCTGCACAAAAATTATGAACTTCAATTTATCACTCAACTGTGTCGCTAGATCCTTAGAGCCAAGTGCTAGCGGAATTGGGCGTGGCATGTGCTGCTGCTTAGGAAATTGGCAACAGCCGGGCGGCCAGTGCGCATACTGTCAGCTATTGCTCGACTGAATATTGCGCTGTGGCCCAAAAGAACAAAATATGTTAACAATGGCAAGTATTTAATGATTATGCACAGACCCTCAAATCAGATTTTCCTAACTTCAATATATAGTCAAAATTTGTATTTATTTTGCAGCATGCCTGCTTGCTGCAGCATTTTTTAAAACAGGGTATATGCACTGCACTCGAGGAAATTAAAAATTGCATTCAAATGCCATGCACGAGCGTGAAAAATTAATATCCGCTCTTTTTCCATTGTCGGACAGCTTTACGGGTTAGCAGGAGAATCAAAGCTCTTAAGGTGACAAGCTAAGAAAATGTTTTTGCTGCTCCTAACTGGCAGTAGAAGTGTTGTTCGCCTTCATAAAGCATAAGCAGCGTTGATGGGACTCAACTAGCAAGTAGATTAAGGTACACGTCTCTCGTCTCTCTCTCTAGGTCTGAACTTTACCTATTCAAATTATAAATTATATTCAAATTACACAAAAATCGACCAAATTAAGAAGCGAAACTAATTCTAATTCAAATCGATCAGTAATCGCTGAAGAATGAACTTCTGCTCAAAACTTTCTTAAATCAATTTAGTAGATTTTAAGGATCTATACTCTATCACAAATCAACATTTAATTATTATTGAAATTGAAAATAAATAAAAAATTAATATCAATAATCATTGACTGACTATGAAGACCTAGGATAGAGAGAAAGACATTAAGTTAACTCATCGGAATATTTGATTTCGACATTAAAAATAAGCAATAGTTCAGCTAAATTGATAAGATCGGCTATCAAGTCAAAGCCAAAACAAGTCTACGAATCAATATACAGTAAAACAAATATAATTTGCCTTTGAAACTATTAATTGTTGGAAATGTGAAGCTTCTTGATTGAAATTTTATTTGGCTTTTAACAGATTTACGATCAGTGTTTCAATAATAAAATTGTTTCTGAATTAATTTCAATGCACTTAAAGTATTTCTCTAACATAACATATCTCACTCCCAAGTTGCAGAGGCTATAATAAGTTAGCACAAAACATGCAAAACATCAATTTATATATATATATTTATATATAATATATATATATATATAAATAAACTTTATAACAATCAATAGCAGATTCACTATGACCATGCTACGCAGAACTACAAAACAGAGGAAGCTAGTTTTTGAAAAACTTTATTTGTCTACTCTCATACGTTTGTATAAATTTAGCTCGGTTTGTATACATTATGTAAATGAAATTGAAATGCCTTTTGAGGTACGCAACTAAAAGGCTCAGCGAAACGAGTTCCATTAATTAATTCACTTTCAATTAATGTCAATTTTAGTTCACAAATTCGCTGGATGTTCTAAGAGGGCCTAAAGAAAGCGAGTGTTAAACTAATTTCATATTGGTTTTTTCCTCTATTAATTAATTCAATCAATTTGACTATGTTTTATATAATAAAACTAGTTTGGCCCACTACGAATTTGCTTATTAATTTGATAAAAAAAAATGCGGCTACGGTTGCTGCCATTGGCTTAGTTACCCTTGATAGCTCGAACGAGCGCCCACAAAGACTTAAAAGTTGAGCAGTTTGAACTAACTATTAACTGAAATATTGAATTTTTTGTTCTTTTTTTTTGACTGAGAAACGAGAAACAAATCTATATATATATATATGATATAGAGCCATGACTGATTAAATAGATGATAAATTGATTGAAGAGATAGAGAGCGAGGGATTAAATATTGCATAATATAATTTATATATAATTTATAATTGTAACTGAGTAAATTGGGTATATAAAATAGAAAGGTTTGTGTGTGATATAAATCGTTTTTTTTTTGGTGTTAAGAATACGTTTATTAACTTAAAACAAATGTAATAATATAATAATTCTGATAAAGTTATGGAACGAAACTGTTAAACAAATGTTAAAACAATGTTTGCCTTTAGGCAATCGCAGTTAAAAGTATGCTGTACGAATCTAAATAACTATATAAACAAATGCCTCAAAGTAGGCAACAGATTTGTTTGCATATCAAACAATATGTGCGCACGGCTCTATATGCATGCGTGATGTACATAAGTACATATTTCATCATTTCGACGATGCTGATAATCATAAATACTCAATTAATAGTAGGAGAATACTATACGATCGCTCCGAGCCTTAGACATATAGCACAAACATGGCCGCAATGGCCGCTGCAAAGGATAAAAATGTCGAGGCATACAAAATGGCACACGTCGTCTCCATCCAAGCGACGAGTGGGCCAACGCACAGCGAAACAATTAGCTGGGCAATGAACACCATGCTGCTAATGATGGCCACATCGGTGCCTAGGCCACGTGCCTGCTTCAGAGGCACCGTCTCGCCGTTGTGAACACGGAACTGAAAAGCAAAAATTGATAGAGGGTTAGAGAAACGTGGAGAGAGAGCCTGATACATACACAATTCTTGGCATGATAGTTGGCCACCAGTATGAAGGGCATTGTGAAGAGCGTGCCATAGAGTATGCCCGCAGAGGTGCTAAAGACCAGAACACCCCACTTAGTTGGCCACAAACCGAGGATCAGCATGCCAATGCCATAGTAAACCATGCCGCTGATGTAAACCGCCTTGGTGCTGCATGAATATAAAAATTATGTTAAGTAAACCTTGATTTTGCCGACAGCCAATTCTCCTCTTTAATTCGAGTGTATGGATTCTTTCAAGCGCACCCATTAACAGCTTTTTAAACACATACCCAAACCACTTCATCAACTTGGTCACAGACAGCGAGTAAATGGAACAGGAGAAGGCATAGATGGACATGCCCCAGCAGCCAAAGCGCACACCTTCCTCGTAAAGCAGCAGCGGCGCAGAATTAGGCGGCGCTGTGGGATCACCGTGGAAGACCGCCTCGCCCACAAAGTCTGTAAAGTACAGGCAGTAGGTGACATGACCCATCCAGCAGAACAGATTAGTGAGCGCCAGCATGCGCATCGAGTAGGGCATTATGAAGATGCTCTTCAGATAGCCACGCAATGAAATCGGTGCGGCATCGTCTGCTTGCAACTCCAAATCATGGGGCTTCTTCAGCTTATTGCCGAGCGCCGGTAAGTAACTATTCTGATAGCTAGCGATAGGCTCTTCGGTTGACTTCATTTGTTGGTCCAATGTGGAGTTCTCTTGTATGTAGTAAATGGCATTATTGTTCTTCTTGAGCTCCTTCTTGATGGCTGACTCGGAGAGCGGACGCAGCAGCTCGTCGCGCTCGATCAGCCCGAGTGGAATTTCACGAAAAGTTGTCACAGTTATCAGATAGCAAATCACAAAGATAATGGTTACCAGGGTAAACACTGTGGGTATATTTCCACCTAGTACGCTGCCAATGTGAGTTGTTTCCCAGTCGATGCCGCCAATGGCATAGCCAATGGTGCCGCCAAAGCCCGCGAAGAGTGTAAACGTAGTCAAGGCCTTCGGCTGCTCCTCGGGCACACACATGTCCAGCAAATAGGTACGCGCCGGCGTCTGGCAGGTATCCGCATCAAAGTCCAATAGAACCATGCCCAAAATGGTTAAAATGACAGCAAATTTGAAATTGGCAGGTGATGCGCCTGATTCCGGCACCGATTCCGCTGAAAGCAAAGCCGCCGCCACGGTGCTGTCGTTGGCATAGCTTGAGGTTGTGTAATTGTACCCCGCATCACCCAGCCAGACGCCCAGATTCTTGCCATACGGCACCAAAATCAATCCTAAGAATATGCCCAACGACAAAAGCGTGATGATGGGTCGACGTCGACCCCAACGCAGCTTACAGCGATCACTGACGCTGCCCAGCAGCGGCGAGACAAAGAAACCAATCAGCGGCGACAGGCCCCAGGCCATGGTCATGTGCTTGTGATCGATGCCAATTTGAAGAAGAATCGGCGATACGAAGCTCGTCTCGGCCGCATACGCGAATTCGATGGCCATCGCTATGGCGGACAGGCGAAAGAGCTCGAAGCGTGTCTTGCGGCGAAACACATGCGAATAGTCCGCATCTTGGACACGTGCATGATTCTCGCGTTGCTTCAGCAAATACTTAATCATTGGGTTCTTGGCCGACGATAATTCCGAGGCCTGCGAAGAGTCGGCGGCGACACCAACCATGTTGAACGCTTGGTACAAACTGCAGCTAAAAGTAAACTCTACATATGTGAAAGTATATAAATGATATGTTTGTATGTATGTATATGTATAATATGTATGTAAATTTAAAAGTGGTTATGTTCTAGACATTGAGACAAACGAAACGCTTGAGCGTAAGACATTGAATCCAATTGAACGGAATGTATGTCTCGGCACGTCTAAAGAAACAGCTAGCGAATATCTGTTATTAATTGAGTTGTGTGCGTATGCTGTAAATGCTTACACTGAGAGAAATGCTAGTGAGTGTTCGCAGAGCAGCGCTTAGCAGCTGTAACAGAAATTAGATCTTTCAGCTCTCGACTTTGCAGCCTCAGCATATTCTATAGATATTAAATAACTAAATGAAAATAACAAAATAATTTTTTTAATATTTTTACAATATTTTATTTTATATTTTAATTCATATCTCGCAATAATTTCTCTGAGTGTATTTTCATTTAATTCACGCAAGGCTAGACAAGCTTGCACTGCATTTGATCAAACGGTCACAAATCTGAGTGTCCACATTAAATTAAATACGTATCATATATTTCACAATGGCAATTGAAATATAACGCTTATCGCCTAAGTCTTTGTTATACAGATATCAGAGCTGAACTTCAATCCGAACTCAGAATCACGTAAACAAAAAACTAATACATCTTACTTGTGTGTAATACGAGCGCCAAACACTGCGAACACATACATATAAATATAACTATATTTATGTATATATATTAGGTTTTCTTTTGTTATATTTAATTTAAACATTCGTTTTGCACAAAAAGATATTCCAATGAAGTGCTTTATTGGCGGACAATATGTAGTTTAAACATATCTAAGCTGCCTTATAATGACAGCAACAACAGCAGCAGAAGCACCAGCTATAAAATTTTATTAATACACAATTAAATTATAACGATTATTAGAGTAAAGCGGCTGATAAGTCGCTAAAGAGATACCCTCTAAATGGACACTAAATGATAAACTCCAGTGGGCTATAAGAAGAAATATTAAAAGTATTTTTAGGGATATTCAACGAAAAAATATATAAAAAAGTAAATAAATTTTTTTAAGCCCTTGAAATAGAATTAAAAAATACTTTAATTATTTTTTTAGGATTTATGTCTGAAATTATTTGATGATGAGAAAGTGAAACTTGATATAGAAAATGAGCAAAAACTTATTTAAAATTAATTTTTTTAGAACTTTTCTCTCAATCACTCCGTGTCTAAGCTAGGCAATAAATATTATAGAAAATGTGCTAAAACTTATTTAAAATTTATTTTTTTATAACTTTTTTTTAATCACTCTGTGTCTAAGCTAGGCAATAAATATTATAGAAAATGAGCTAAAACTTATTTAAAATTAATTTTTTGTATAACTTTTCTTTCAATCACTCTGTGTGTAAGCTAGGCAATAAATATTTTTTTACAACTTTGTACAGGGTATCGCACTACAAAAAGCCAATTTATGAAGTGACGAATGTTGTGTTGAGCCGCCAGCTCACGACACTTAATATCAATTCAACTAAGCCGCAGGTCAGCAGCTGCCTCTTATCACGCAGATCTGCAACTATATTATATATAAATATATGTATATATATATATATACATTTGCGATACGTCAAAGAAATGAGAGGTCTGTCTAGGTCAGAGTTATGTGCTTAATATATGCAGACACCACATTGGTGGACACTATGCTAATCGTTAGATATTAATTAACGTCTGGTTAGAGGAAGTACGTTTTTTCCAGTTCAGTTGTAAAAAACTTGTTGGGTTAAGGTTTCCATCTTAAGCTGATTTACATATTGGCACAATGTTCACACGTATTTCATTTAATGATGCGTTTCAATTTGCTGCCGCTGTTGTTGTCTTCGGTAATTAAGATGATCACTTAAGAGCTGCGCATTGTTATAATTAGTTTCCCGCTGAGAATTCGATTGTCAGCGCGACAGGATGTTATAAACACATACGAATATAGATATATATATACATATATATGCATATGAAGTATAGGGAAAAATACCCATTTCTTTTGTAATCTAATAGTGGCTAGGCACGAATTGTGTTTAACATGCATTCACTTACCTTTAATTAGTTACCTTAATTAGGTTCTGTTTGCGTTTTATTTTCTGATATTTCGTCTTAATTAGCTTCTCCGATTTGTTCTCCGAACTTTATTCACTTTGAGTGTTGATTAGTGTCAATAAATTTGTTGGCGATAAAGTTTTTCTTTTGCACAGATTGTTGAACATAAAATAGATTTCGATTTTCTTCAGTTTCAATTGCTGTTGCTTTTGGGCTTGCTTGTGGGCGTGGCACTTTAGTAAATTTGTTATCATAACGTTACCCATGCAATCCGATGCTAAACAAATTCGATATAGCACTTGTTCACAATTATATGACGAATAATTTTTCTTATTTATGTTCTTAAATTTAACTCTCGAGGTCTTTCGTTTGTTTCTTTCCCTGTTCTTAACTTGAAATTTGTTTAAATATATATTTGGTTTTATTATTATTTTTGTTGGTTGTTGTTAAAGTGCTGACATTGCGGCAAGTCGATCGATGCGACAAGAACGATTTACTCCATTGGCCCGAACGCTGGGAAATTTTTGGCAAGACATGAAAATTGCTTTCGTGTTGAAAATTTGCGTAAATCGAAATTAAAAATATATATAAATATATATATTTAATATACGCAGTCAAACAATAACAAAACACACACAATTATAAACACATGTATATATATATATATATATATATATATATATAGTTCGATGTCTAAATGTATCTAGAGGGACGCTATTTTCGGCCTTCGTTTTGCTTTTTGCTTTGTATTTGCGATCGATGCGAATCTCTAGCTGATCTCCTGTGCCCTGCGACTGCTTGACTGACGCTTCAGCTGCCTAGACGCACGTATTTATACACAGCATTCAACATACGCACTCTCTCGCATATTCGGAGTCTACACTGAGCTATTTTTCCAGATATTTCACGCTCCGGCTCTCTCTCTCTCTCTTTCTCTCTCGTTGTCCCTCTCTCTCTCTCGTTGTCCCTCTCTCTCTCTCTCTCTCTCTCTCTTTATGAACATCGCTTGGCCTATCGACAGGGTGGCTTTCCTTTCTCTGCTTCATACTTTTGTCGCTCATTGGGTTTCTTTAACTAAATATCTTACTAATAATGGTTACATTAACTATTTCATTTATTTTGTAACATATTTTGAAATGAAAGAGTTTATCTAATATAATATTTTTACATTAAACTTATTTTTGTTTTTATTGTTTATTTATAGATTAATTGATGCTTATACATTGAGGCCAGCTGCAATTGAGCTATCATTTTATATGTTCTATATCGCACGAATAATATCATATATTATATATAAGTGATATTGCAGCAATTAGATTAATTAATGTCTGCAAGGGCATTTCGACATCGGCTTGCCGTAATAAGCTGTTCTTAGTTGAGTGAGTTTTTTGTTTCCTGTTTGGTATGCATTTTAGTTTAATTGCTTGTCCGTTTGCCAATCACAGTGGTCACCCGTCCAGTGCCACCTCTTGCATACACCATTTTTTAGTCGAACGAAGAAACAGTGCAGATAAGTTAGCGAGTGAGCACTGCAGCAGGTAACGCTTTTGCAATATAGTTCAGACTCTTCGATCAGCTCTTCGGCTCCCATTTTATATACACATACATGATTATGTATATGTATATGTATATTTATATATATATATTTTTTATGAATGTATCCATGCTCCATTATTCTAGGAACATAAACTCAAACAAGTTTGCGCGCTGGACCAGGCTGAAGACTAGTGGAAATATACAAAGAACATGATTTTTCTGTACCGACCATGCCAGCACTTTATCACAGTTACACTGCTCTACAGGGCTTGGGAATGGAAAATTATGCTGTGCCATATTACCTAGATTTGAAGGAAATTTCCACTCAAATCTCATTTCTCACTTTTGTTTCACGTTTTGTTTACCTACAAATATTTTTGCGCTCTTATCTCTTGCACACGAAAGACAAGGCTGCTTAGAAGAGTTTATAAATTCCGAATGTTCCTCGCATTAAATTAACTTTCATTGTGTTGTCTAGTGATGAAGTGTTCAATATATACTAAGTATTTGATTGGAATTTTCTTGATTTTTATATAGAGAATTGAACGATGCGCTTAATGTTGAATTAGTTTTAAGTAGAGCAGAATAATATTGGAATGAGCACAAAATGTATATATATTATTAACTTTATAAATTGGTATATATATTTAAACATATGTTCGTAAGAAAAACAGAATCTTATCATTGTTTAACAAAAGTCAAGCTATTAGACTCTATATACAAATTTGTTTACAAAATGTATCAAATTTATAAATATTTAATATTTTTGTACGATATTTATTACAGGCTTAGTTTTAATTGTATTGTCTTAAAAATTAATTATAGATTTGCAGTGAAATACAAATTATTAATAAATAATTTCATTTTCTCAGCTCTTATCACAATTGATAACAAAGCATTTCATTTAGAGGGAGAAAAACCTCCCACAAGCAAAATCTCAGACGGAAACAAACAGCTAAACAGCTGATCAAATAAGTTTCTATATTATCTTCTGTGGCTGTTCGATGATTCTCATAGATGTATATATGTATATATTCCGAATCAATAAGAATCAACATTCACGTACGGGGCACCTGTTATCACAATCAATTAGCACAATTTTGCGACTTTTGGCATAAAATGTGAGCTTGTGAGGAAATCAAAGAAACATAATTATATATGAATAAATATATATATATATACATATATGTGTGTGGGTAGCAAAATTATGTAAAAAATTGCGGTTGGAAGAGCAGTGCCAATAACTGCCAAGTCATTGACTTGCTTAGGCACTCTCGCTATCGTTGGGCTCACAGAGGTTAGCTATACCGACATATCTAGATATATATATATATATATATATATATATATATATACATATTTGTTTGTTCATGGGACCTCCGAACGAGACTCAAATAAACCGGTAAGCGAGCCAAACAAAATGTCACTTTCAACATATAATATTTGGCGACAAGATTGCAAAAAAATCAAAACTCTGACATCCTTATCGCACAGTGCATACATATTGTTATATTACATATATATAAATGTATATATAGTCTATATATCATCTATGATATGGCCGAGACAATGTGTGCAGCTTATCTGTGAACGTCAGCGCCTCTAAGCTGGCATCTTATCTCCATAAAGATCTCCGCGATTTGTTGTGCTTGCACTGGTTTCTTTCTAATTAGCAACAGTTCACAGTCTCTAAATTTAACGAACTTGTAACAATTTAAATATATATTTAAAATTATTTTTAGCTGCTTAATGTTTTAAGCTAGCTGCTATGAAACTCGTGGTAAGAGTTTAAGTTTCTGCGGCTTTTTTATTGAGCCCAAGAATATGCAGCAGAATTTTACCAGTTGAGAGTAGAATAAGGCGCTTGAAGCTAGTTCAAATTTATGAACAAGCTCAATGAACCAAAAACAGTGCATACTTTTTCAAATCGTTCGACTGATTTCGATCATTGAAATTGAACGACACAATTATGGATTTTCCACTTAATTCTCTTATGCCAAGACTTTACTGTTCGTCAATGTCTGCACGGCTTGGCGACGACATTTATTTGTGCTTTCATTGCAAACACATACTTTGCACATTGTTGTGTTTGTTGTTATTGTCCGTTGCTGTGCTGTTTGCCGTCCATCCAGCTAGCTTCATTTGCCCAGACTTTTGTTTGCGGCAGTTGAAAATTAATATGTCGGAACGCTCTGGCCCAGCAAATGTCTTAATTAAAACTTGTTTTTGGCATTCACTTCGCCAGCAGCAGCAGCAGGAATGTATGGCTAGTGTTTACTGTACAACAAAAACGTGTGTGTATGTGCTTTTGCTTGGCTGAGGCAGTTGCCTGTACATGTGCCTGTACCAGTTGACATTTAATTTTCAGGCACGTTACGCATACGCAGTGTGTGCCAGCAGAAACAACATATGTTTTAGGCAGTATATAAAAACAAAGTTTATATAGAAAAGGCAATATAGAAATGTTGGTTTATTGATGTCTCTCTTTGGTCATAAATACCATTTCCATGGTCAAACAGATGTATAGAAATTTTAAAATTTTTATCAACGAGTCTAAGCCATTCAACACTCGCACTTTGTTTTTCCCATTTTTTTATCCATCATTAGAATCACAGAATTGGTTGACATTAAGCTTTAAGCGTTCTCTTAAAGAAAAGGATTTATTCTTTTTATTTTCTGGGCGGCGGAAGTATTTCCTTTATGCTCTCCAGTTGCCCAACCTGGACAACTGCTGTTGATAATGGCTTTGACAAGCATTTGAAATAATTTTTGAAGCGCTTGCCACATGGCGGCTATTAAAGGTGCTAAAACGACCGCCGGACAATTTGATATGCCCCGACTCTACACTGCCAAAAAGCCAAAGACAATGGCCAATAAAAAGAATAAGTTAAAAAAAAATAAAAAAAGAGTTTGGCAAGAAGCAGAAAACAAAAAAAGAAAAAAAAAACGATGAGCTCAAAGCCAAAACTCGTTTGCCGGCAGCTGCAAAATGCTTCCTTTATTGTAATCTGCATTTAAGTGGCTTTCTTTTGTGCTGACATTCTGGTACCTGTGAGTGTATGCGTGTGTGTGAGTGCGTGTGTATGTGTTGCATTTTAGTTCGGTTCTAACGTCTTTTTTTTTGCACCTTTCAATTTGGCGCACTTTTACTGGCGACCATTGCTGCAATTTTTGGCTATTTGGCGCTCATTTAAATGACTAAAAGGAGCATATGGTTTTTAAGCAAGCACAGGTAACAGGTAGAGCGAAAATTATTCTATATAGCCTTTATTATCAGCATCAACAGCTGAGTCAATAGAGTCGTAAGCGGAAGGCTGCCCACCTAATCGTCATCTCTTCGTCTGTGAAAACATTTGTAGAGAAGCTAAAGACCTACAACTTAATAGATATATATTTGTAATATGATATATGCTGAAACTTTGTTTAAAGTTGATTATAAATATAAAAATTTTGTAAGTATTCTTAGTTCAATAAAACTTTTTGCTTAGTTTTTACCACAATTCGAGAGTATTTATTAGTCGAGTATTTCCTAGCAAAACACTTTTAGCTTTTTCGTCTAACTGCCGCTCGTTTGATATGTTAATATGCGACTCTCTGAAGCAATTGGCAATAGGAGTTGACGTCAATTGCCAGACAATTTTATATTCGCTTATGTTTAAAGCTCCAGATAAGAACAGCAGCAGCTTTAATGGTCACAACATAGAGAGAGAGAGAGAGAAAGAGAGAGAGAGAGCGAGAGGCTTCCTTGGAACACAATTGGTTCAAGCCTCCACTCATAATGTAGCTAATGACTAGAAAAGTTATTAATTGCATTGATTTTTATTATGTTTATTATTTTGCATTTACCATTTGGAGTTGAGACTGGCTCATTGTTCTGCTTAATGGACTGCCTGGACACTTAAGTGTTCAAAAGGTCAATTTAAGCCGAGCCAAGTGCCTTTCAAACTGCGCTCAGCATTGGTTGGCGATTTACTTGCAGCACTCGCCGCTCAACAAATTGATTGCCACATCGACGCGCCCGAAAAGTCGGCATGCAATTTGCCAGGCCTGGACCCTGCCC